AATTAAAGAGGATATTATTTATATATCTCTAATATATAATAGGACTATTAGTTAGGCTTTTCCAAAGAACTTTATATTTATAGGCCCTATATCTTATATAGAATATTATAAGTTCTTCTAATTCTAGGTCTATTTAAATCTAATAGAATATTTATTAAATATCTAGCTTTATATAAACCTGGGCTTGAGCTAGTTATATAAGGATCTCGTAAATAAGGAAAAGAGAATAATAATTCTTCCATATTAAGTTATTTAGCTTATAATAATTAATATAAAATCGGAGAACTCTATTAGCCTTTTTTATAAAGAGAATTAGAGATATAAAGAAAAACTAGCTTAGTTTAATAAAGCCCTATTAGAGGTTCTTTTTAAGGAAATACTTGATCTCCTATAGTTTATAGGTTAACTATTAATAAAGCGGGAAATACCCTAGGCTCTCTAGGCCTTTGGGATTATTAATCTGAATTTTGTAGTTATATAATTAATATAGAAATAAGATATTTAATACTTTCTTTAAAAAAATATCTATAAAATCCTTAAACTCCTCTAGTAAGACTCTTACTAGCTACTATAGTTCTGTTTATCCTGGCTATTATTTACCCGGAATAAACTTATTCTCTTATTATAATTCTAGCTCTTTATTAATCTCGAAAAATAATATTATAAAGAAAAGATTCTTCTTCTTTTATAGGTTTATCTAGAAAGCGGCCGGTAAGATATCTATAATATTAACTATAGGCCTTAACTAGCTCTTATGGCTTTTCTTTAGATAATATAATTTTAATATTCCTATTTCCGGCTTAAGAGAAACCTCTATATTTCCTAAGGCCACTTATATTTCTTTATAATATTAAGCTTAATCTTTTTATTATATATAGCTTTCTGAGCCCGGATTAGGAAGAAAATAAGAGGGTTTTTTCTTTATAAGCTAAGGTTTCTAGGACTTATCTATAGCTATAGCTTTATTTCTTTTATTTATATCTTCTTAGTACTAGTTACTTTTTCCAGGTTCTAAGTTCTTATATATAATAGTTAGGACCTTATTCTAATTCTTCTTTCTAGGCTAATTATCTAGCCAGATTAATTTTCTATTCTTATAATTAATTAGAATACTAGTATTTATAAACTACTATTATCCCAAAATTATATTATATTCTCCTAATCCTATAATTAGTATAGGTACTAGGACCTTCTATTTATTAATTAAGAGTATAAGCTTAATATAGTAAATAATAAATACGGCCTACTTACTATTAAACCCTCTTATATTATAAGATAATACTAATTAAATAGGCTTAATATCTAGATATTATTTAATTATTCTTATAAACTTGGAATTAATAAAAGTATATTTATTTATTTTAGTATTAATAAAAAAAGAAGTCTTAATATCTAATTTATTATTACTAATTATATAAAGAAGTATAAATACTTTATTTTCTAGTAACTAGCTCAAATTAACTTCTATTATATTTATATAATACGGCTCTAAAGAAGAGACTTTCTTTAGGGGTTCTTATTTCCCTATTCTATATCCTTAGATAACTTACTTATAATAAGTACTACTAGCTTGGCTACTAAGACTTGCTTTATATATTTGGTCTTGGGCTCTAGATAGCTTCTAAATATATAACTAAATCTATTATAGTTATAATACTTGAGATCTAAGAATCCGGGCTTCGGAATAATAGGCTTATTTATTACTAGGGTTTTGGGAATAGGCTTTATATAAGGGGCGCCTCCTGAACTTGGCTTATCTATATCTTTATTAGCTTTCTTGGATACCTAGTCTTTCTTTTTATAATAAGCTCGGATCTGCTAGTTATTTATAGTATAGTATTATATAAACTCTATAGTATAAATAGCCAGGTTATTATAGTATATAGCTATAGCCTTTTAGAGCTTTTAGGTAAGCTTATTATTCAGGTTATTCTTAAGGTCCTGCGGGTTAATATTTCTGTCTATTATATATCTCAGGAATAGAGTATAGAATTCCTAAAAGATCTGGCCCTTTTTTATAAATAGTTCCTTAAAGGCTTGCCGAGTATTATACTCCTTATTTAGGTTACTATATAGCTTCTCTAGATAGATATATAGTTCTCTAATAGTCTCGTATATATATTAATTATTCTGGTTTAGGCAAGGGGAAATTAGTATAAGGATATGGCTACTTATATAGCCGGAAATATAAATAATCTTAAGGTCCTCTATCTAGTAAGTATTAGAGTTACTATAGAGCTTTTTCTTAATCTAAACTAATTAATTATTAAAGGTAATACCGTCCTTAGTTATATCTTTAAAGATAGGAGGATTAGGGAGTTTAACTAAACGTTTACTTTCTAGAGTAAGGGAACCGGTTATCTCTATAGGCTATATAATAAGCTTCTTAATAATAGCTTTGTTCTTTTATAGGGCTTACTTGGTTTCTCTTAGCTAATTATAATAATTCTTACTATAGGTAAGAATATTATATATTTTCAGAATTAGCTTAATAATCTCCTTATATAAAGCCTCTGGGCTTTAGAGCAACTCTTGGAAATCCGCCTTTAATAGGGCAGGTCCCTCTTTTTCCTTGGCTCTCTAAAAGAGAATATCTCTCCTACTATAAGTATTAACGGGATATTTGGACCTTTTAGGAGACTTAACGAGAGACTCTGGTCCACCTTCTAGTAGCATACTAGTAGTATCTCGTACTATAGCTCCTTCTGACTTGCCTAGTCGTTCTGGGACTTGCTTTCTTATAGGTCTTCGTTTAGTAATAAGGTTACTGGCCTATCCGCTTACCTGGCCGGTCCAGGGCTTTCTTGCCTAGTTATTCTAGGGCTTTCTTTTATTCTGATATTAGTTAACCGGTACGGGAGTAGCTACGGTATATTGCATCTATACTCGTCGAAAACCGATTGGATAGGTATTATTTAAATCCTCTGCAGGATTAAGAAATAGGTAAGCTTTGAATTATATTACGAGTACAAGATCTAGGGCCTGGAAGGCATAGTCAGACTGTCTCTATTTCGACGATTCAAAGCTAAAGAGAGAAGAGGATTTCGAAGGAGCCTCGGATCTAAATAATCGCAAGCTATATACGGGCCCACGTACTAGCTTAAGCTCGGGATTATATACAATGATCAGGTGACTACAGATGCCTCGCTCAGATGTCAGATGCCTCTATCAGATACCAGATGCCTCTCTAGCTCTAGTCTAACCCCTACTAGTACCGTATATCGTAATAACCGTAACAATTATTACTTATTTATTAAGTTTTTATTAAGTTCTAAAAACCTAATTTTAGTTAGTAAGTCTTTATTAATATAAAAAATTTTTTATTATTATATGAATTTTGGCTTATATAAAGATATAGAATTATATAAGAGTAAAGAAGAAGTATAAGTAAGTAAGTAAGTAATTAAAGTACTCAAAAGAAGCCAATAAACGAGCAGTAATAAGAGTCGGGTATAAAGTGTATATTGTTCCAAGTTATTATATGCGTAATACAAGGTCTCAAGCAGATAGCTAAGCTAATGCAGGAAGGCCCGAGAGCCTGAGAGCCCACAATGTGAGGCGCACACTATAGCAGGGTGCTACGCAAGTAGTCAAGGTAAGGGGTGGAATCCAAGGTAAAGTATGGAGTGAAGCGTGGAAGTATAATTGATTCCAAGAACTGGTTCCTATCAAGAAACTAATCGATACCCACTTCCAAAGCTCGCATGCCTCCATATATAGAATCTAGTGTTCCACTGGATGTACGGAAGCACTAGTCCCAATTATGGAATGCGATCCCACATAAGCACTAATCGTTCGGCGTTTCCCACCTACAATTCGCCTAGCACGCCTTGTAGGTGAGGGATAGCGATACGCAACGAACAGCGATACGCAAATCGCACCAAAATTTGTATGGGCAAATGGGGCAGATTTGCATCACAATAACGCCTTAATCTTTTAGACTTAAAATTTACTAAGCTAAAGGGCCTACACCTTGGGATTAATTCCCAATACTTAGACACTATTTTATTATGCTGCGTTGTGAGAATTCAAAGGGAGAAAAGGAGAGATTCCCACCAAAATCTCAGATTTGCGTATCGCTGTTCGTTGCGTATCGCTATCCCTCACCTACAAGGCGTACTAAGCGAGTTGGAGGTGAGAACCACCGAACGATTAGCCCAATTAGGCTACCAAATCCAGCTGGACGCTCGCTGTCAATGTGCGCATCACGTACAACGTGACAATAAAGCACGTGGGCAAAAATCCCCACCACACTAAGTTCCTAAGACTTATTAATAAATTGGAATTTACTTAACAAGTTCCTAATACTTAAGGACCTAGACCTATAAGGCAGGTACCCGCCGGGTGGGTCTAGATTCGCCGGGACTACGTCGCATCTTAACAGAAAACGCAAGTCGTGCATGTTGAAATTAGGGGCCTGAGGCCCCTAATAGGCTTAGTAAGCCCTGGAACCGAACGCCATGGGGCTGTGCACTAGCTTAATACCCTGTCCAGCTGGAATACCCTGTATAGCTGGAATACCCTGTACGGCTGGAATACCCTGTCCAGCTGGAATACCCTGTATAGCTGGAATACCCTGTACGGTTGGAATACCCTGTATAGCTGTAATCGGTTCAGCTGGCATAGGGATTTAGTACATGTGACTTAGGGGGTTCAGGGCTATATATACGGGCTACTTACCACTACCACTGTAGAACAGCAGTCAATTCAGTACGTTTTACTTGGTTTACATTGCAAGCACGTGACCCTAGCTATATTGCTTTAGCTAGTTCAACAGTGCAAAGTATGTCATTCCATCACGTTCTTGCTAGCTCTCTCCACCACTCAAACGACGATTTCGCCACAACGACGATGCAAACCCCGATGAGTAAGCTAATATTCGAGATAAGGGACTTCACTTTAATAACCCCAGCCAATTTTAGAATTTTTTGAATGCTGTGAATTTTTCGGTGTTCCAACCCTTAGCCACTTAAATGGTGTGTCGGGTTGTGGCGCAGCTATGCCAAAAGATAATTCTCTCTCAACTCTCCTACGTTTAACCAAGCAAATCCTAGTCTAAACAGTTTCCCGTAGCTGTCATACTTTCGAACCTGCGATCCCTTTGAATTGATTAGCATCACTTCACTTCAAACGGCTCCTCGTGGCATCTTGGTCGTTCTTGCCAACCTCATCTTGCCATCATGCCCGCAGGATTACAATGGAAGGGATTTTCGAGGAAACTGAAGGGAATGGTAGTTGAGAGTGCTACATTACTCGGATCGGGCAGGGCTCAGAACTATTCTAACGATGTAGATGCCTTCGGATTGTTCCTTCTCCATCCACAGGATGAAGAGAGGCACGCTGGCGGAGCTGTGGCTGGAGGAAGTAAGGAACCAGAGGCTACGAGGCTCTATAATGCGGACATCATAGCAATCCATGGGCTAGGAGGCACAGCACACAAAACTTGGACCCACGAGAATGGAATTCTTTGGCTTCGGGACATTGTGCCAAATGAATTACCGGGAGTAAGAATTTACACTTTTGGATACGATTCGAGCTTTGCATTTTCTAAGGGAACTGGAACATTAAGTGATTTTGCGAAGAATTTGCTAGAAGCGATCAGACTGGAACGAACAACTCCCGAGGTAAGTGATTTTTCAAGGCCTACAATCAAGATTTTCCAGAACGTTATAACCTATCAGGCGGCTAGTCAAATGCTCGGCCAATTATTCTGGTCTGCCACAGCATGGGTGGAATAGTTGCAAAGCTGGTTAGTCTGCAAAAATTCTATTGCGAGAGCTCCCACCTGCTGACATGCTAACAGGCTATTACCATTGCACGGAACGAGTCTGATCATTACCCTGGCATTGGCAAAGCTGTGACAGCAATATTGTTTCTAGGGACACCCCATCAAGGTTCCGCGTCAGCTCGCTATGCCACCATCTTAGCAGGAACTGCCAACGCTTTGATCATTGGGTCCCAAATCTCCCGACTTACTGGCCCTATACGATCCAGTCTATTAAAATCTCTACAACGACACGAACCAGAACTCTTACGTGTGGCTGAAGATTTTAGAGTCCACACTGCAAACCTTAATATCATCTCATTCATTGAGGGCAGAAATATGAAAGGAATGAATTCAAGAGTGAGAGTGCTAATCTTGAGGAAGAGTTATATAGCCGAGGGGAATTTACTAACTTCCGTCTAGATCGTTGACGATCACAGCGCTTTTGTCGGAGCTTCTACAGAACGAAAAATACCGATGCCAGGCTATGACCATAGGGAAATCTGCAGGCACGGCTCGCCTGATGATCATGGCTTAAAGCTACTTCTTGGAGCGCTCAAAAGTTGCATGCCGATCGGCATGTCACGAAGCCTATATAGTTACGTTGATCATTCACTTTCACGCTGCTAACGGTGCTTACGGTGGAGGATAAAAAATTTTTCTAGTTGTGCTAACTATGATCTCTAGATGATCCAACAAGAGTGCCCGAGCGTGAAGCTCGTAAGTCAACCTCTCATATCCGGAGTTTCATGCGGTGATAGGTTGTTAACGTCATCAGCCCCATTTGTCAACATCCCATTCCAGAAAAATTCAGCTTTTGTCGGACAGCAGGAAGTCCTTGAACAGCTGACAACCGTCTTCCACGGGAGCCATAACACCCGGCAAATTGCGCTCTATGGCCTTGGCGGAATTGGGTGAGTTTTCTCCCAGTATCAGAGGTCACTAACTCATTGGAGATAGGAAATCACAGATTGCATTGCAATATGTACACAACGCCAATGAGAACGATCCCGATATCTCCATCTTTTGGGTCTTCGCTGGCACTAAGGAGCGGTTTGAGCGCGATTACATGGAGATCGCGAAAGGCTTGAGGCTTCCAGGTCACAATAATCCAGAGGTTGATATTTTCAACCTTGTGAAAACTTCACTGGAGAAGGCCCACTTCGGAAAATGGATAATGGTTATTGACAACGCTGACGATCTGTCAATGTTCTACGGCTCGCCAGAAGAAGAGGAGAAAGAGTCAGATACTGGTAAAAAGTGCTATCCTAATGGTTTATTCAATTATATTCCTAGTTGTCCTTCCGGATCGGTTCTTTATACCACCAGGAACAAAGCGGATGCTTTACAGCTGACAAGCAGTGGCCACATCATCCAAGTGAGAGAAATGGGCTTGAAGGATCTGCATAGTCTCCTACAGACAAAACTGTACGGTGAAACTCCAGATGAAGAACAGTATACCGATTTGATAACTACTCTCGACAGCCTCCCCCTCGCACTTGTTCAGGCTGCCAGCTATATCCGTCAAAATTCATGGTCGATTGCTAAATACTTGAAGTACTTTCGCAGTAAAGATACTGATTTGTCATTCCAAATTCTGTTGCACGATTTCCGGGACCAGACTCGAGACAAAACTGTAGCAAACTCCGTTTTCAAGACATGGATGATTACTGCTCAACAGCTCGAGGGTCAGCACCCGGAGGCAGCCGAGACGCTTTTCATGATGGCGTTCTATAGTAGTCAAAATATCCCGCGGTATCTCCTCGTCCCGGAAAATGTACTTCCTGAATCCTCTAATGGATCGGAATGTGTCACAAATCTACCATCTCCGAAGTCGAACCGTACTCTAGGGGATACCGCCGAGTATCTCCTCGACCAGGCTATCGGGACACTCGTGGCATATTCCCTCATCAACATTGCATATGACAGCCAACCAGAAAGCTACTCCATCCACCGCCTTGTGCAAAGCTTTACACGTTATTGGTTAGTGGAGCACAGGAATACTGCAGATAGCTGGGCTGCTAAGGCCGTCAACTCCCTTTCGCGAGAGTTCCCGGCGACAGAGTTTGAAAATTGGATGAAGTCTGCACAGCTGCTTCCACATGTCCTTAAGTTCATGGACCTTCAGCCCGTTTCACATCTGCCTCCCCTTCGTTTTGGAGTTCTCCTTATTGCATGCTCAGACTACCTAAGAATGAGGGCGCATTACGTCCTCGCTAGCAAATACGCCCATCTCGCAATCGAGATACTCGAAAAGAGCCCAGAAGAACAGACCTTCGCAATCTTGGATGCTAAATGCTCTCTTGCACTCATTTATCGAAGTACCGCACGCTTCCAGGAAGCAGAACAACTCCTCCGCCCCGCAATTGAAAATTACAGCATTGCTCTAGGCGCAGATACCAGAACCCTCTCTGCGGTGGCCACCTTGAGTGTCGTATTACGAGAGCAAGAAAAATATGAAGTGGCTGAGAAATTAGCACGTTCAGCTTTCCACCATCTGGGAGACCAAGACCACTTGCAGGATCCTAAGCTTGCTGAGTGTAGAACTAAAGTAGAGGCTGCTCTTGCGACCGTCTTGGGCGATACTGGACAATATAAGGAGTCACTTGAGATACAGCAAGCAATTCTACAGCGCTTACTCGAGTCACATGAGCGGAAACATCCCAGAGTAGCACAGGCCCAACATAATATTGCTGTTACGCTTTGTAAGGATGGCCAGTATGCAGCGTCGAGGGTATTGAGCAGTGAAATCCTGGAATTCAACCGCCGATTCTACGGACCCGACCACCCCCGAACGTTAAATATAGAATATAACTTGGGGCGTGTCCTGGAAGAGGAAGGGGATCATGGAGAAGCAGAGACACACTTCCGAAGTGTAATTAATTCGCGGGGGACAAATTTGCTTGGAAAATATGACCCAGAGACGATAGATTGCATTCGAAGTCTCACCGAGTGCCTGGAGAACCAGAAGAAGTATCAAGCTGCAAATGAATACTATCAAGCTGCATACCAACGGCTACTCGAAAGCCCCGGTACTAAGTATGTTTGGGTAGTTGCTCTTGGGGAGGATCTCGCAAGGACTCTGAAATTGACACACCACTTGGCTGAAAGTATAATAGAGTCGAAAGAGGAGCCTCTGGCCAGCGAACCTATCCACCACATTACTCTCCCAAGAGGCAGCGGAGGCGGCGGCGGCAGGCATCGCCACAAGCCTTATGCTAGAGATTCTAGCTTTGGCAGCTGGACTCGATAAGTACATCCCTAAGAAATCGTGACAGCCTGATAGGAAGCTGGTGATCGGAGGTAGGAGGGGTGAATGGGAAAGGGAGGGAGGGGAAAGTAGTATCCGTGCGTGTATATCCAAGATTACGGTAGAGGGCAAGTTCTGTTCCCGGGTGGGAGGAGTTTAGGCATGTCAGGGGACGAGAAATTGTTTTCGTTTCATCGCCAAGGTTTCCAAGGAGAAGCCTCCGTCAGCCTTTAGTTTTGCCTTAATCTCGATTTGAGATCAGGTGAATGCCTTAGGCACTAATTTAAGGGATGTCATCTTTATTGATTTCAAATTCACTTTTAAAAGGCTAGTAATTTTTTAGGTAAGCTAAATAAGGTAGGTTTTAATTTCGAATTCCAAACCTTCTTCCCTTTAATAAACACCTCTCTAATCACGTAAGTTAACTCTTATACGCGCTATACTAGTAGTATATCTAAGACTGATATCGACTGTGAGATTTTACCAGGGATGGATCAACATTACTTCGTGCCTGGATCTACTAATTCGGCCCCTGGTCGACAGCTCACGATAGAGTCATACATGATCAAGTACCCATCCAGCATTTTGCCGCTTTCCGGGGCATGATCTGGACACTCGAAGTGTTATTCAAAGGAGAAACAAAAGCTGTAATCGACCAGGTTTTTGCCCAAGATGATTCAACCCCATTGATGTGGGCGATAGAAGCTGCGAACCTCGAGACTATGCGATGGCTGCTTGAGAAGGGGGCAAGTGTTGATTTCCACAGGCTTCTAGGAAATCCGCAGATCTGATTTGCGGTTGACACACCTCAATTATTGGCAGCTAAGGAGAATCGTCAAATCTTTGAGCTGCTGGCCACTTATGGTGCTGATGTCGATGGATGTTCTCTCGGCGGACACACACCGCTGCCGTTCTTGCTTACGCAGCAACAGCAATACGTGACAAGTGGTCTAGGACTTTGTGAAGCATGTTTCAAACCAGATCTAACAGCAATAGCAAATTTTGCTAGACCAAGGTGCTGATCCAACAATCCCATTACCAGATGGTGAGACACCTCTGCATTGGGTGGCTCAGAGTGGGAATGTTGACCTAATGGAGGAACTATTGAGCAGAAGTGCTAATCCGAATATTTCTGATACCGAGGGACAGTCTCCATTACACCGGGTTGCATACACGAGGGATTGTTTAATCGCCAGTCCCCTCATCAAGCATGCAGCACACACATCGATGGTCGACACCGAAGGCCACAGCACAATATACTATGCAGCTAGAAATGGCTCGGAGGGTATCGTGAAGGCCATACTTCAGAGTGTTGGACGCCCGGAACAACTAACACAATTTGAAGGCGGGTGTCACGCATACAACATGGAGAGGAAAGGTAGAATGACATCGGAGGGAACTACCCCGAATCTTCGACCAAAGACTACCGCAACGACAGACCAGATATAATAACAAACTTTTGTCTCGGACAAGGCCACCAAATTGCTCCTGGTTTTGACGCAAAGGCCATTTCATTTTACCCGGATTCAAAGAAATCAAGGCATTCCGCAAAAAGCATTGACATGACTTCTGGAGATTGAAATGGCAACATTCATTCCTCAACGCTCTGCACGGCAACAGCGGGCCTCACCAACTTCTGCCTAATGATTCTCCCGTTCACCAAATCATTCCCTTCCGCCCTCCTCACCGCCGCCTCCAAGCTCGTCTCAATCCCACTCTTGACGTGTCTCTTCGCAATCCTTCCCCTCGCTAACCTCTCCTCGACATCCACGAACCAACTGTCATCCACCAGCCCCTCGATCCGGCACCATGGCTCTTCATCCAGTAGCAGATAATTGCCCTCCAACAGCACGAACCCTATATCAGGTGCAATCCGTATGCCATCCTCCACAGGATCTTTCAGCGCGTGATCGAAGGATGGAGCAAGTATAGTTTCGGAAGAGGGCTCGAAGCGAGATTCGGAGAGGGAGTGGACGAGGTCCAGGATGCCGTTGGAGTCGAAGGTCCAGGAGGCCCCGCGACGGGCGTAGGCTTCTGCGCGGTTGGGAAGGAGGTCGAGAGCGGAGCGTGGCAGGTGGAAACCATCCATTGGAATGAGAGCAGCAAAGGGGGTCGTGGATGTTGCGTTCAAGCGCTGCACGACCTTTGCTGCAATTGTGGACTTCCCGGAGCCAGGTGGACCGGCGAGCACAACCACAATGCGGTGTTGGCCTGGAGAGCCATTATCGAGCCGATCTTTCAACGATAGTGCTCTTTCAGTGAGGGATCTGTAAATTGGTTCCATGGCAACGGATAGAGAGAGGAATTGGTGTTGATATCTGGCACAAGGTGGTTGCCATTCTTATTGTTGAGCTGTCCGGGAGACTGTCGTCCGGTGGGGATTGTGGAGGCGAAGGGACCTTCAAGGCCAACGGTGTAGATGGACAGCCATATTGGAAAGTACACAGCTTCAGCTTATTTATCCCATAGATATTATGAGGATGCACTGATCGCGAGGGTGTCGAGGGTGAGATTGAGGTCTTTGGGATGGATTGAGGTTGAGTAGCATCAAACCCCGCCTTGGTCTGAAATCTGCACAGAATCCGCGCATATCTGAGCACACCCTCTTCCTGGGAAACTCCACCTCAAATCTTCTCCGCTCCAACAAACTCTGCCAGGTTCCCTTTTCTTAGTCCTGCACGCTTCGTCGATGCGTTTATTCCCTTACCCAGCTTTTTTTCTGCATCATGGAGTTTGCAAAGCTCACAACACTGGTTTGGTTTTTCCCCGCCGAAACCTTGGTTCTTGCTGTCGTTTTCACTTGGTGCAACAGCTGAGTTTTGAGATTTCACTCTTAGCATTTTGGATATTTACATCGAGAGAGAACTCGAGCAAAGCTGTTCATCTATGCAATTCATCGAGTTTCCTTCCAAGTTTAGCAAAGCCACGCCACAACTACTCCCTCTCAACTTTTCAAACCCTCCTGAACCGCTTGTTCGTCATTGGCGCCATGGGTGCAACAACCGTGAAGTGCACACACGACTCATAAGTCTGCTTGACGCCAACTCCATACCACCACAATTGACGGACCTACCAAGCATTAGCCAAATCCACCTCGTCATCTTTCGAAAGGGAAAATGGTATACACAGTCTCCAGCAGTAGCACAAGCACCCTTCAAGTCGCTCGGAATCGTAACATCAAACGCCGTATTATTCGCCGGCAACGTCTTCTGCTTCTCGTCCGCATACTGATCCCAATACAACAATTGCTTGACGATCTTATTGCTCTTCATATCCACGATACTCATGTTCGCGGTCCCGGTATGCCTAACCATGATCTTGACATCGAAATGCACCGTCTGTCCGGCCGTGTATGTCTGAACATTCGCCTTGTTGTCGGCGAACTGCATTCCACGACAGAGCCATAAGTTGAAGTCGGCAGCTTTGTAGGTTGGGTCGGTCTTTGTGGCTTATGGAAGCCCTTCCACGTGTGAGGTTAGGTCTCCTTGATGTTGTTTGTTACGGCTTTGCCGCAGGCGGCCAATGAGGCGTACCGGGACCGCGAGGAGTTGGGTTGGTGATTATGCCGTGGGAGGATACGGTTGCTGACAGTGAAGCCACTAGGGCTAGCGAGCCGAAGGAGAATAACATCTTGATAATTCGAAAAGGCCAAGTGCAGCGAGGTTAACGTAAGGGAATTTGAGCTTCTTTTCGTTTTGGGGTCCACGGGAAAGCCACGTATTTATGATGATTTACAAGAGACATGTTTGCACAGTCGGGGAAACGAAACCATCAGGCTGTACGGGTAACCGGTAGTGGGAGGAGATCTCTCGCGGTTGCGAAGGCGCAATAAAAACCGAACTCCGCACTTGCGGGGAGGAGATTCCATACACTATCGAAGGGACAAGAGAAGGGCCTCACTTTACCGCAGTGCATGGATGAGGGGTTGACCTTCCGAACTTGGGTTCTTGAAGCTGCGGTAATAAAACAGGGCAACATATTGCAATCCCAAACCATATGACCCTTCTGGCCCACAATAGATTCAGCGATTCTGGATAATTGGACGGGATGGTAGCCGATTGGTGGTAGGTATGAGGGTTTATCTGATCGTGGTGCATAGGCAAGTACCTATATGGAGTCGTGTGAAAGGGTTGGCAAATCTCCATTTTAGGCAGTGTATACAAATCTTTATCAAAATTAAGCCGCGGGAATTGCTTCATCCAACAATCACGATTGATTGGTGGCTAGGTTGAGACGGAACGACTCTTTTCAGACCATGGAGATGAAATTGCTTTAGAGTTGAGCGAGCCTTCCTGTGAAGTGTTACACTGATCCCGTTTTTTAAGCTATGCTAATAATGGGCCTGATGTTTCGGATACCGCCCCTTTTTGTGAACCTCGAGCGGCATCCGGACTTTTTATCATATCGATCCTTTCACCATAGTTGCAGAGTCTCCTGAAAAGACCTACCGACAACTCAACATGATTTTCGAACCATCTCCCGCTTTTATGCCCCCTTCCGCTTTTATCAATGGCCGGTTCAAAGCATTTCCCCCCTTTCGTCTCCATTTTCAATTCCTAGACGGCGATGCTCCAAATTGTACCTCTCTCACTTTTTTCGGCAGCAGAAACCAAAGCACGATAACCACTGCGCTTAGAGACATACACGCCCCAGTAAAGATCACCAGAGACCTATAAATATTGATCCCGTAAGCATCAATCCTCACAGTCTTCTCCAACAACCCCGCACTAATTGGACCAACAAGCACATTCCCAACACCTTGCAGAAACACCAAGATCGCAAACGTTGCAACAACACCAGAAGGATCATCGCTAACTGCCCTCCCCATACCAACTCTCATCGTGGCAAAACCATACGCAAAGAACCCAAATATGATACTGAACGTGAGGAGCAATCCAAGGGATTTCGCCACCCCCCATAGGCCAAACGTAGCTATCATCGCCATGAACGAACAGATTATCGCCAAGGAGCTGACTGGAAGATGTTTGTCAGAAAGATAACCAAACACGAATTGCCCCAGCACTTGCGCAATAGCCATAGCCGCCAATATCAGCGCTCCTTGCGTGGACGAGAGACCGATATCCGCAGCATAAGAAGGCAAGTAAACAGCCGGGAAGAAGAAGCCCAATCCTTGAATGAGTGTTGAGCTACAATAAACCCAAAAGAGCGGTTTCCTAACAAAGGACCAATTGGTCCTCGTCATGGTACTGCGCTCAGAATGCGTCAAGCGTCCCTTCAACGCAAAGATCAGCGGTCCTGTAAGGATCACCATCGCAACAGAAATAGCTCTCAACGTCGTCTTGTACCCATATTTCTTCAGTAAAGCGTTAATAATGAGGGGCATGACGGTACCAGAAGCACCTGCTGCGCTGGCAATGATACCGAATGCCATGCCCTTTCTCGCAACCCACCACTCGTCAACCATACTAATGATAGGATAGTATAACGTGACAAAACCAACGCCGTACATTATTCCCTGGGTGATAATCAATCCGTTCACGGTGGTTGTGAATGAACCGCACACAAGACCAAGGATGCAGAGCGGCCAGCCTGCCCAGATTTGCTGCCGTTGGTACCGCGGGAAGCGTTTCGCAACCGAGGCTGAGAACGGAGCCCCAAGGTAGGAGAGCCCTTGTGCTAGGGTGCCAATGAGTGCTATTTTAGACGAGCTGTCTTTGAATTCAGGGATTGTGGAATAATATTCTTCGAACACGCCGAAGGAGATGGGGAATCCTGTCACCCTGTAAGTCGACAATCGACATTGGAGGAGAGAATGTGGGTGGGTACCCCATAATACGGCTTCGAACACGAAAGCGGTAATTAGTACGGTCCAGGCTGCGACTCCGCCATCTACAGGCTTGAGTTCTTGGATCACTGTCTCACCAGAGGCGATATTGTTGGTTGAGAGCACGGCAATCTCGCTTGTCTGTGTTGGGCTTCGTGAGGGGCTTGATGGAGTCAAAGTACTGAGCTGAAATTGCTCGAGCGAGGTTTGGGCTGTTAATGTTGCCATCTAGATTTGGCCACCAACCGGAAATGAAAGTTGAATTGATAGTAGTTAAGAATTGAGTGATGAAGAATGTCGAAGACGAGATTTTGCTGAACGTATACAATTTTCTTAGTCATCGAAATGTCGAAAGTGGGGTCTTCATACGCCCTTCGAAACCCCGCTTATCGAATTTAAGATCTATCTGGCCATGCTTCAAAGTTTCCCAGTAATAATGGATATGCAAAGATTATCATGGTCGCCCCAGACTAAAGAATTGGGGGTTGGGAAAAGAAACCTTTTAATTTCACGGGGAAATACATTTTGTCTTTGGTCATAACTTTCCTATCCAACAAGACACCAGCAAGTTTATGCTGCCAAGTTAAACTTAATGTAATCTAGCAGCCGACTTCGAATTTTTCAACCCAGTCGTGAGCAAATTTGCAGTGTCAGCTATTGTTTACGCGAGGGGGTGCCCCGCTACCCCTTTTTCAGACGTCACGTGCCTCTACGTTTTTCAGCTTTGAGAATTGGGCTCAACAGGAATTCAACACTTTTCAAGGACACGGACACCTTGCTGCAAGCATGAAATGGGTGCCTAATAATGCCAAATATCGTGCTGAACGCGTGCCAGTTCAGCGGTCGAGAGTTGGAATCTAACCGCTTCCGGAATACGAATTCTGCTAACTGCATTCGGAATACGAAGCCACAGAAGCCCGCCAAACCACATTGAAACCTGGACGCCGCCAACCTCAACTCAGCCTCCTCAAACAACAATCAGGTCCCCACGTCAATCTTAATCCTAGTCAGTGGCGTGGAACGTTCCATATAAGAGCAATGTTCTGCCTTGGTCTCACCAAAGTTGGAATACGAAGTTCGTGGCCATGGACAGCAATTTCTCGTTCTTTGCTTTGCCAGCTGCATCCGGGACCCCTCCAGCGAAGCTGCAGGTTGATGCTGCCGGGAATCCCCTACGGAAACGTCAGCCACATCATAAATCAAGAAATGGATGTGCGACTTGTAAGCGGAGGAAAGTTAAAGTATGTGATCCACGTTCCCTGTGCCGCATCAGGGCTTGTGGCTGCAAGGCTGACATCGAATTCAGTGCGACGAAACATCACCTGCTTGTCTAAATTGCACAAGGAGAAATTTGCAATGCAGTTTCAAAGTCTCACTTGGACCGGCGGAGGCCCATTCCAGGAGACGGATTGAAGTGGCGAAAACGTCTGGACCGTCTCAAAGTACTTCGCTAAGTCAACTAGAATTTCTCAATAGACTTACTAGGCAATATCGGGAGATCTGTTTGACAGACATCTTTCACATTCAAATGCCAGGGTTTAGTGCGGAAGTTGAAGATGATGGAAATTCGGTTTATCAAGGACCGAATGCTGGCCAGCCTCACAGGTCACGACTGAATTGGCTAGAAATGCTCGACAAACATTCAACAGACCACCGTGCAGGAGTGGCTTGTCCAACCTGTTTTACACGTGCAGGCATGCCAGTAGAAGATGTTCATAATACAGAAGAGGTCACCCCATCATGCAATCTTATGGAACTTGCCCCAAGCATGAGTTCCAAAGAGCGGGAGCTTCTTCTGTATTTTGAAAAGTTCACATCCCAGAACCTCGCCCTTTGTGAGACACTATGGCGAACAGTTGTATTGAAGAGCGCCTGGCAGGTTCGTTTCTCATCCTTCAATATCTTACACAGCATTGGCTAAGACCTCCCTCTAGTATGACTTTGTCAAGAGCGCTATTCTCCTCGTCACGATAGCTCATATGAAGCACAACACACCTACATACCACCACGACCGCGAATCTGATCTGCAATACATATCCTGTGCTCTTTCGGGTTTACGAGGTGCCTTGAATTTAGACATGACTTGCGAAAACTTGGAGTCCATTATTAGCTGCACATCTTTGCTCGTTCACTACGCATGGTCGCACATGGAGCACGATCTAAACGCCGACATAGATATTGCTGTATGCTTCAGTCATACGGCCGACCACTTCCATGGCTTAAAGGACTGCATGGCCCTCGTTCGGGGGGCATTCAGTCAAACCAAATGGTCAAGCGTCTTGGTCTACAGTCCCAGGGTCAACTTAGAACGGTATTTGATGGAATCGCAGTCCACGGCCAACAAGCTAGAGAACGTCTTTTTCCACTGCATCGATTGCGGACTCAGTACAAGAGCTCCTGATAACGCCTCAAATAACAACGTCTCCGCCCTCAAACGGCTCATTATTGTTCTGAACGTCATTTGCATCAGTTCACCTGACATTGAATCAACTGGCCTTTTGCCAGACATTTATCGATATCTGTTCACTTGGCCCTCCAGTGGTAAGATGTCCACCAAAGGGTTTATACTGCAAATTGGCGAGGGAAATCCTGTATCGTTGACGATTCTATTATACTACTACGCAGCAATTCTGCGCGTATACACGGAGAAGATCTGGTGGATGCGAGATGGAGCCACAATGATGTTCAATAAACTGCGGTCAAAGTTGGGTGGGCATTGCTCGCGGTGCACTGATATCCCATTGTCATTGCTAGCCCCGCCCGAGCAACAGGCCACTGCTGCTTACAATCATGGAAATTGGAAGCATTAGGTTTACCTCATTGAAAATATTGCAAGAAATATGGGACCCGGAAAGATTGAGACATTTACAAACTGTGTCCCTTGCAAATGGTTGAGAGTTGAGACCGCAGACTGGTGGAAAAGATATCCTGCCAAGGCCCTCGAACCGGTGGAACACGCAATGCTTACCCGATGGGCAGAGCACTGTTTCCATGTAGCTAATCCCCGAGAAGTATCAGATCCAAAAACATCCTTCCGTATTCCCTTTTTGGATTAGCGTATTACCGATTGGGAGTACGAATTTCTGCAGGGAGTTCGATTGGCCCAGTTTGCCGGGGACTCGGGGCTCTTAACCTCCGATTTCCAACGTCGAGGAAAGAAATACTTCCATCCATCCCTTGTTTTCTCAAAATCAGTCACTTTCTTCTTGCTGCCCCAAAGCGTTATAATTCTTCTATTCTTTGATTTACGGCATCTTCAATCGGGCCTCAAGCCAAGTTGTCCCTGGCTAATCCTCTGCCTCGAGCCTTCGCCGTCGCAGAAGCTCTCTCTGGACGCAAACAGCTACAGGCATGGCAGCCAACTTGCCAACCTCCTCGAAAGCGAGCCATGAAGAACTCAGAAACGAAAAAGAAGGTCAGAGCCACGATCTTACAAAAGCAGAGCAGGAGATTCTAGCCAAGCAATTGAATTTGCCTCGTGTGAAAGCCTCTTACTTCATGCTGTATCGCTATGCGACGAACATCGACTTGTTTATTATAATAATCAGCACATTTTTTGCAATTGTTGCAGGTGTTATATTCCCCTTGATGACCGTGAGTGCCCTGCCCAAGAATCTCTGAAAACAAGGCTAACTTTGGAAGGTTGTATTTGGCTCTCTTACTTCAAGCTTCCAGTCATTCTTTAGCAGTCATTCAAATCCCGCCTCGTTTCGACACGAAATCAGTCATTTGTCTCTATTCTTCGTTTACTTGGGCATAACAGCCTTTTGTGCAAACTATATTGCCACTGTCGGATTCATCTACACCGGGGAACACATCTCGCAAAAGCTTCGACAAAAGTATCTTGCCGCTATTCTCAACCAAAATGTGGCCTTCTTCGACAAACTTGGAGCCGGAGAGATTACAAGCCGCATCACCGGCGACATGGCCACGATTCAGGATGGAATATCTCATAAGCTCGGGCTGACAGTTACTGGCATTTCTATGTTCTTTGGAGCACTCATTGTTGGGTTCATCAAGAACTGGAAGTTGACCTTTATCATGTGTACAGCAATTCTCACAATGGTGGTCTCGATGTCCGGCTTTTCTAAACTCATGGTTCGGTTCAAGCAAAAGTCTGGAGAGTCGTCTGGTACATCAGCCACCATTGCCGAAGAAGTATTCAGCTCCATCAGAAACGCCACAGCCCTGGGAACACAAGAGAGGCTCGCCGAGGAGTACGATGGATACCTTTCACAGGCAGAGATATGGGGCTTCAGAATGAGAGTCGTCACAGGTATGATGTTGGGGACGATGCTTGGGATCATTTTCTGCGGCTATGGCCTATCATTCTGGGAGGGTTCTAGACTTTTGGTGAAAGGGGAAATGTCAGTTGGTCAGATCATCACTGTTTTACTAGCAACTATGATGGGGTCAACGGCTCTTGGTCAAATTGCACCTCATTTCCAAGCCTTCGCAGCCGCATCCGCGACCGCTGGACCAATCTTCAGCGTCATCGATCGACCTCCCACAGATGAACATACCGATGGTAAAGTACTAGATCAGGTACGAGGGGAAATCGAGCTCAAAGGAATCAAACATGTGTACCCCTCGCGGCCTGAGGTGGTTGTCATGCATGACGTTGATCTCACTATCCCAGCAGGAAAAGTCACAGCACTTGTTGGTGCATCTGGTTCTGGAAAATCGACCATCGTGGGATTGGTCGAGCGATTCTACACTCCAATCAGAAGTCAAGTCCTTCTTGACGGTCACGATATTCAGACTCTGGATTTGAAGTGGCTCAGAAGGCAAATGGCTCTGGTGAGTCAAGAGCCAGTTTTATTTGGCACTACCATCTTTGCCAACATTGCACATGGTCTCATCGGAAGCAGATTTTCGGATGCTACCGGCGCTGAAAAAATGGATTTGGTCGTCAATGCAGCAAAGATGGCGAACGCACACTCATTCATCACCTCTTTGCCAGAAGGATATGACACGAACGTTGGTGAAAGAGGGTTCCTCCTGTAAGGCTGTCTTTTGCCCACTACATGCTTCCATATACCGAGGAAGAAATTATACTGACTGTCAACCATAGCTCTGGGGGTCAGAAGCAACGAATTGCAATTGCCCGCGCTGTCATAAGTGATCCGCGAATCTTGCTGCTTGATGAAGCCACATCCGCCTTAGACACCAAGTCCGAGTCAATTGTTCAAGAAGCTCTTGATGCTGCTTCTCAAGGGCGCACCACCATTGCCATAGCCCACAGGTTGTCTACTATCAAGGGAGCTGACAACATTGTGGTAATGTCCGAGGGTTCTATTGTTGAGCAAGGCACACATGAGGAACTCGTTCAAAGCCACGGTGCATATTTTCAGTTACTCGAAGCACAAAAGCTCGCGGGAGATCAAGCCTCACAGCCTAGTTCTGATGCCCACCCGGAAACTTCTCTAGACGACACAGAGCACCATGAGTTGTCTCTTGTCCACTCAAAATCCCATTCTTTGAGAGAGAAGACAATCAGCCTAACGAAAACCTTCACTGAGAAATCCGGACATAGGCCGCAAGGAGAGCAAATCAAGTCTCAAGCAAACTACTCACTATGGACATTGATCGCTTTCGTAGCGTCCTTCAACAAGCCAGAAATCGGTATCATGGTTCTCGGCATCTTCTGTTCCATTCTAGGTGGATCAGCCATGCCTATTCAGGCATTGTTCTTGGGCCACGAAATCTCCGCCCTTTCACTCCCCTCCGAACAATATCCCAAACTACGACACGATGTCAACTTCTGGTCTTTGATGTTCCTTGTTCTTGGACTCGGAGTTTTCGGGTCTTATACAGGTCAGGGTATCACGTTCGCATACGGCTCAGAGAGACTTATCTTCCGTGCTCGATCTCGCGCAATCCGCTCAATCCTCCGTCAAGACATCGCCTTTTTCGATCTACCCGAGAACTCTTCTGGGGCTCTTGTCTCTATGCTATCCACAGATGTCAACGATTTATCTGGGATGAGTGGGGCAACCCTCGGCGCCATTTTGAATGCTCTCACCACTATCATCGTCGCGCTAGCTCTCGCCTGTGCAATAAGCTGGAGACTCGGACTAGTGTGCGCAACAGCAATGCCTGTTCTTATGTGTTGTGGCTTCCTCCGTTTCTGGATGCTCGCACGATTCAGCAAGCAAAGTCGGTCAGCCTATCAGGTTTCAGCCAGCTATGCTTGTGAAGCCACGGCCGCTATCCGCACCATCGTATCTCTTACCCGCGAAGATGATGTGCTGGAAACTTATGAGGCTATGCTCATTGATCAAACTGCCAAAGATCTGAAGTCTACCTTGAACTCAACTCTCCTTTACGCTGCTTCCCAGGCGGGGATGCTGTTCGCTTCTGCACTGGGTTTCTGGTACGGCGGCACCTTGATCTCAAATCACCAGCTATCAATCCAGGACTTCTTCGTTGCGTTCGCAGCAGTCATCTTCGGAGCACAATCTACCGGTGGAGTGTTCTCCTATGCCCCCGACATGGGAAAGTCAAAGCAAGCAGCAGAGACACTCAAGTCTCTGTTCGACCGAGTCCCCGAAATCGATACCTGGTCCGACGCGGGTACAAAGCTTGACAGTGTCGAGGGTTCAATTGAGTTCCGTGATGTCAAGTTCCAGTACCCTACCCGTACTACACAAAAGGTTTTGAGGGGTGTTAACTTGACCTTCAAGCCTGGGCAGTACGTAGCTCTGGTCGGGCCAAGTGGGTGCGGTAAGAGCACGATCGTCTCGCTCATCGAACGGTTCTATGATCCCACTGGAGGCTCGATATTCTTGGATGGAACGGACATTTCCACTTTCAATATCCGGGATTATAGAAGTCATATTGCGCTCGTTAGCCAAGAGCCGGTTCTCTATTCTGGAACGATTCGGGAAAATATCATGCTTGGAACAGAATCTGAAGTTGGCGAGGAAGAAGTTATCAGAGCTTGCAAGGACGCAAACATCTATGATTTTATCGTGAGTCTCTATTGCTCAGTGTAATTCAGATTCAGTCTAACACATGGGCAGATCTCTCTTCCGGCAGGCCTTGACACCATTGTGGGGTCGAAAGGTGTTATGTTGTCAGGTGGTCAAAAACAACGGGTCGCCATTGCACGAGCATTGATCCGTGATCCCAAGATCCTGTAAGTCATCTTCCCTCTCTCCCACCAGGTCTCTCAGAGCAGGAGGCCTCTTTGCTGACTTGATGACACCACCAGACTTCTCGACGAAGCCACTTCAGCCCTGGACTCTACCTCCGAGAAAGTCGTCCAAGAAGCACTTGACCGTGTCTCCAAAGGGCGCACCACAATATCCGTCGCTCACCGTCTCAGTACCATTCAGAATGCTGATATAATCTATGTCATTGATCAAGGGCAGGTTGTGGAGAGTGGGAACCATGATAGTCTTTTGGAAGCAAGGGGTCGGTATTCGGAGTTGGTGCAGTTGCAGAGGATGAAGAAGACTTGATGAGTAGATCGCAGTGTTTCTTGTAAGTTTTTCTTCGCACTGGTCGGGGCGGTGGTTCTGATGTTGTATATTATAGGGAGAATCATATGGATAGACTTTTTATTCCACTCAACCTAGTAATACCATACGTCAAAGAACGATTCAGTTTCTCTTGACTTCTTGATTCCGCCGCCTTCATCTCGGATTTGACTTCGACATTGTTGACATGTTGATTCCTCGGCTTAGGCGTCGTTCACGTACCAATTAACCAAGTTGGTGTGCTGCCTATGACTGTCTATCTTCTGATGGATTTTTGGCTGCTTTCAATGCAACCATCAACTCCAAAAGTTCATCAGCACCATGTGGGTCGTCCTCTGTCGCGAACAGGTATTTGATTACAGCGGCCAACGAATGGCGTTCCTGAAACGAAAGATTTTCATTGTCGTCCATTGAACCTTCATCAGAGTAGACACTTCGCTCTGGTCAGTTGTTCTTGGTGATTCGGCGGAAAATATCGAGGTTGTAAAACCGGAACTAGTGCTTTCTACTCTCTTATATCTCTTCGTGTCTGCGTCCGTGGATGGTACCACATGATTAATCAAAAGGTTTTTTTGATGCATAAACCACATTCCGAGGGTCCCAGAAGGCCCAGAAGGCCCGTAATTAAACCCTCGGTCCCAAATCTTATCATCTTCGATGCAGCATATATCTAGATCAGCGCCGCTTTTCATGAAAGTTTCTAGAAGCCTTTTTAGGATCTTCGACCCTCTCCCCAGAATGAAGCTATATCCTGATTTATCGGAAGTATGAAAATAATGGATGAAGTACTCCCAAATTGTGTGGCCCTCAAAAACCTCATTGGGATCGGCACCCTGCTCCAGCAAAAATTCCATCATCCTGCACAATGGCTCATTCAAGGGCCTTGGATGGTTCCCCAAGAATGTGAACCCGATTAATGGTAGCCCCGAAGCCCGTTCCACAGATCCGCCATTCGAAAGAAATCTGGGTGCAACGTAGAAAAGAAGTTTCTGTCTGATTGCCTCGCAAAGGAAATCAGATTCCCAGGTTGCTGGAAACTTCTGGTTCGACCAATGGCCGAGCGTACGCCCTCGCAGGGCATGTACCCTATGGCTCAACTCTGTTGCTGCTCGATCGAACTCGTCGAAGAGACGGCAAGGGACGGTCAAATCCCTCGTTCTGCGGTCGGATAACCACAACTTGTCGAATTCGGCCGCCAATTCCCAGCACATACAACTCCATAGATTGTCGATTGCTTGACTTGTATTCTCTGACGGAAGTTTCTCGAAGAGAAAGAGTCTTTTCAGGCGCAGGACATAGGACATAATTAGCTGGAGTAACGGATCGAACATAGAACCGTATCTGTTATGGCTGCAGATACCTTTCCATACGTCTGCTCGAGCCAAGTAGTCTCTTACTGTTCGATGGAGGTAGTGAAGATTGACCTGGACGTGGTCCGTTTGAGTTAGTTCGATGAGCCCGCCGCATCGTGTCCGGAGCATATCATCCATGTATTCACTGAGGCTTTCGATTGCATATATGGAGCAGTTTTTGGACTTAAGCAGAGTCAAATCTCGAAGCCCCACTTCTTCCTTCACTGCTTGTCTTAGATCGTCTTCACTGGTGCCAAATACCCGTGGTAGATCAACCGTATAGGCAGTGTACAATATCTCTACCGAAGAGTCGTTTAGCGCTGAAAATTTGTACGCCGCGTCGAAAACTTGGAAGAGGATGGCACCTTCTTCCACGTTGATGGGGTCAATTGAGCTCAGCATATGTCCATACAGCAGTTCTAGGTCCGATGGAAATGCATCGAGTCTCTTCAGAAGCTGAGGAATGCCATCCCTTTGGCTCAGTCCCTTGAGCAAGGATTTGACGACAAGCTTAACCCAAAGGAACACACCCTCAGCTTTGTTAATAAGCTGTGCAACAAGTCTTTTGCATGTCTCAGGTTCTCTTGTGGTCCAAAACTTCATTCTCTTATGACCATTTAACTTGTCCTTGATATATCTTTGAATATCGTTTGATGTCAGATCCTGAAGTTTGAGGCTTGGAAATCCGTTGAAGGAGTCCTTGAAAACAATCAAGGGCCGGCTGGCGATGCAGAATTTGACATACGGTAAATTGGAAAGCGAAGAAAAGTAGTCGGATATCTCTTCGTAGTCTCCATTATATTCATCCAAACCGTCGATAAAGAAACAAAAGTGATTCTTCTCGGAGGCACAGCCAACCAGTCGTTTGAAGTTTTTTTGTAGTCTCGATAGCGACCAGCTCTCAAGTGCTACAGGTACTCCATGTTTGGCCAGCTCCAGAGACTTCTCCCATTCCTCGGGGCAGACTTCCGGAAACAAATTGGTATGTTTTTCCAGGACATCATGAATGATTGACCTCAGCAATCCAGCTTGTGAACACTGTTCTGGCACCCCACTGTTCCAGAAGAAGAAAGCTAGAGTGTTCAGAGCCCCATGTGGTGCCCATTTTTGCAAGTGCCCTCTAGTTCGTGAATCGTCAACAATAAATCTCATAAGAGTCGACTTCCCAGACCCAGCTTTCCCGTTGATCCAATAAATCCCGCTACCTGACTCGGCCCAGTCGATGAAGCTGCTCCACGTCAAATGTTCTTCCTCGGGCTCCCGAAATATCCATTCGAATGTACGTTGATGTGCTTCCGAAATGGTCTCATATCGATGGGTCATTGATTCAAATCGGAGGCTCTCACGAATGTGAAGCTCCGCTTTTCTTCGGTGCCTATCTTTCTCTTGATTCTCTAATAGTTCTCGAGTCTTGGCATGTTCTTCTTGTCCAGACAAACTCATGGCATTAAGCTGGATAGATACCCCGTCGACTTTGCTTTCCACTTGGGCAATCTCGGCTTGGGTGGCCTCATTGTTGGCTAGTAGTGCTATCATAATTCTTCCGACACCAGCGTCAAGCGATATAAAGCGAGCGTCCTGTTGAATAGACAGTGAGGTCACCTTGCCACTATTCGCCAAATTGTTTAGACAGCATCGAGCTAGGAGGATCCATCGAACATTACCTCAGAGAAACTACAACATGTGTATTCAACTCCGCCCTCAAGCTGTATAATCTTTTCGCAATCGCTTCGATCTTCTCTTTGGACCAAACCGATTTCAGTGCCTGCCGGAAGCTCTTCCACTTCTTGTAGCGGTGATCTCCAGGGACCTTCAATGTTTCAAGCTTGTCCACTAATTCCTTTGATACCGTTACGCATTCCTTGCATATTGTCTCCAGATCTTGGTCAACTTGAGTGGGTGAGCCCTGCGTACTATCCCGACGAGCCTGACTGAGAGAGCCTTGCACACCGCTGCTCAACTGTTGAAGTCGGATAGATGCTGTTTCGAGCTCAATATTCTCGCCCAAGGCCCCATCCACAGACTTATAAAGTTGGGTTCCTTTTGATACAATACCAGCTCCATAGTCGACGAACTGAATTACAGCCGCAGCCACGGACAAGGCTGAGAGGGGGTCCATAGTACCACGCAGCGCGTTTCAAAGTGTCAGCTTGATCGATAGATGCACGATGTTTGTCACGCAAACCTCATACATGAAGCTTAATATGAAATGAAAGACGGAGTGAGGATATTCGAGCGTTGGGTGAAGTTCTCGATCTTGAAGCTGGGGTGTGCTGCGACAAGAAAGTAGGCTGTGCTGGCATTCAACGCCTCTTCGGCTGTTGTCGAATCTCGACACCTGGATTTTTGCAACCAATCATTCCTTCGACCCTCTTTGCAAAACTCAGCCTTGCTGCGCAATGTAGTCCTGGATACTGCAAAGTATCTCTATTGAAGACACTGGTTTCGACAAAAAAGGGAAACCGAGTTGGTGTTAGCTTAAGTTCATTAGAAGCAAGTATTTTGAGGCGGGTTCCACACAAAAACACAGATACTCTGGCAATTCTTGTTATGGTGACTGCGGTATTGATATATGGCAAAGAAAGAGTACTCCTTAGTTTGGAACTCCGTCATGTCCCTCTCAAGTAAATAAAGACCTTCTCTCACTCTTATCCGGCGTGTTGGGCCTGCAGCGAGACCGCGAATCGATGAGACTATATACACCAACATGGGAATACTTTCTCGACGACCGGATATTTCGAAGTTACTAGAAAACACATCCTCCCAGTCCCAGAACCTCCTGGAATCCAAAGGCCCTTCTGCTTGTGATTTTAGTCAAGGTCTATCAAAAATTCCGGAGGATAGACTTACTCTGCTCCTTGTTCTGCAACAGAGCCTGCAAGTCATATGTGAGACTCACTGAACCACCGCAAACTCTCTCTCAGACTCCTTGGTCTTTCTCCCACGCTTCTTTAAATCCAGATGCACTTGTTCGAACGGGTGCTTGTGAATGTCCCACTCGAATACTGCTGTCTCTAAGTTCCCAAAGAATCCAGCCCAGGGTTGCAGTTTTCGAAATGAGATTGACCCTGGACTGCGCACAATCATATGTCTCACCTTACTCTCTACATCGATGGAATCGGCATAGCGGAGGTAGATGAAGCTATTGGGTGCCGTTCCGAGGAAGGCCCTCAATGGGCGGATCCCGGGAAGTAAGAGTGTCGAAAGCGAAGCTGAAATAGAGTCCCCTCCGAAGTCTGGAGCGGAATAACAATTTGTGGTATTCAAGAGCAGCTCTGTTGGTAGAGACTATTCGGGGACGCAATATTGACTGGTGAAAACCACGGGATAGAGCGCTCTGAGCCTGTAATCTCAATGATGCAGGGACCAGGGACAGTCCATTGCCATATAATCAATATAAACTCCGGAGGGAGCCTCGGAAAGAGTGTGAACTACTTGTAGGATGTTGCCCATGGTGGCTGGCCCGCTGTCGAAGAGATCGTATGCGCCGCTTGGGTGATCTGGTGGAGTCAGCTGGCTTGGATCCATAATATGAGGAGATATTCGTGCCTACCGTAGCCGTTTGCTGGATAATCTTGAGGAAAATTGAGGTGAAGTCGCGGAAAGATATACAGTGGCGACGTGATATTTTGTAGAAATTGGCAGAGCCCTGCTAGCCGATAGCTCTCCGAAAGGTTGCCGATCTTAATTTTAGGAAAGCGTCGCTTCAGAAGAGCAGATTCCCACCGCGGAGTGGATTATGTGAAGCATACACACATTGATGCAGTTCTTGAAAGGTGCTCTGTTATATGCATTAACAAAAGGAGCCACGTCTCACAGACGAGCTGCCCATCTGTGCAGAGTTCTATGTACTTTGCATCTCAGGATCCTAAGAGCGCTTCTGAGCCACCTCCTCCTCTATCTCAACCTTCTTGTACCACTTGACCATTAGACCCTTGTTCTCCTTGCGCAGTCTCTTTACCAAGATCTTATGCCAAGAACCGCCCATGTCCGCAGCAGGTCCCGACTCCAACGCAGCAGCCTGAAATTCAAGCTTCAAGACCCTCAGCGCAGTGAACTTTTGCAGTAGCTTGAACTCGGGACCCTCCATGTTTTGAATATCTCCACTGACCATCAGGTTTTGAAGAGCGCCTTGAGTAAAGTGACGTGCTCCTCCATTTTCGATCTTGTACGGAAATTCAGTGAGAATGGCCAACGCTCCAAAGCCCTCAGCGTAGATCATATCGGTGCACATATTGATGTAAAAGGGGCCTATAGCAGGTTGGTTGGCGAACATGAGTGTGTACTTCTTCAAGGCAACAGCGCGAGCTTAAGCACTGAGTTAGCAATATGTAAATCGCGAATTGCAAGAGTAGCTCAGGAGTATGCGTACCATGCTGATTTGTATGTAGTAGGGCGGGAATGTTATGGACAACTCTGATCTCTTGGTTCTCGTCAAGTTTGATGGTAACGATTCGTGGAGATGAGGTTGCAGAGCAGACCCATATCATCTCCTTGACCTCAGCGGGAAACTTCTTAAAGAAGCGATCGAACTCTGCAAGAGCCATTTGGAAAGTACAGTACGAATCTGGGTAGAGAAATGTCAACTCCATGTAGAGAGCAAGGCAAAAGCCAGACAAAGAGGTCAGACGAATGTTCCAACGTCCTTCTGTCGAATGTGATTATCGGAGAGGAGACGGTCCAGAACTTACATGGTACTTTGAAGTGCGATGTGATGCACCGACACCAAACTGTTGTTCCAAATGGACGTGGATAATGTGAAGAGAGCGTAAAAGAAAGCAAGAGCTAGATCGGGAGATGGGACGATTGCTCTACAATGTCTTAGTCTATTGTGGGTTGTGAGCAAGAGTTGTAACAGAAAGGCGCTTATCGCGCTTAAAGTTAGAGGTTGAGGGTAGAAACAGACGCGAGTGTTGTGCAAATTTTCCCAACTCACACCCATGTTTGCTGTTTCTGGCATTTGGGGTTGAGGGTGAATAGCAGTATGGCTGGCCTCTGTACAGAGTGATGCAAGGTTCGCTTAGCTCGAAAGGAGTCTGTTGAAATTAGGGGCCTGAGGCCCCTAATAGGCTTAGTAAGCCCTGGAACAGAGCCTTAGGGGCTGTGTACTAATGGAACAGAGCCTTAAGGGGCTGTGCACTAATGGGGCTTAAGCCATAGGCTTATTACTGAGTAGATTATGCCCTGTGAGGCTAAATCGGTTCAGCTGAGGTTGAATGGTTCAGTATAAGGCTCTCTGGTTTAGGGGTTTAGTGCATGTGACTTAGGAGGTTCAGGGCTATATATACGGTCTACTTACCACTGTAGAACAGCAGTCAATTCAGTACGTTTTACTTGGTTTACATTGCAAGCACGTGACCCTAGCTATATTGCTTTAGCTAGTTCAACAGAGTCGAAGGTGAGTCCGGACCGATGATTTGCCGCGAAGCGAATGAGCGCAGATGTATATCCTTTGTCTTAGTTGCTCTTATCGGGTGTTGTTCAAAATGAACGTGTGTTCGGTGTTTTCACTTTTTCGGTTTTACCGGATGCCGGATAACATATCCCACGGGTAAGGCCTTGACCCGTTACCCGTTTCACAAACCAGACCCGGACATCCCTTCCCCTCTTCACAATTATGGTGACCAGTAGCAAAGAGAGATTGTTATGTATTTGCTCGTTCAACTACGTCTATCAGTCTTGGCTTTTGCAAATTACACCCAAGCTCAAAGCAACGTCAATTGGACAAGTTCAGATCCCCTATTATGCTTGCTGGACCTCGCGGATGAGAACTTGCGAACACCTCAATGACAAGGACTATGTTTTATGCCTTCAGTCTATCCCACTTCACTTCCTCCAGCTCCGAAGTTCCATCCTGCATCAGGTCAGACTTTTTGGCCTCTATTTCTGGAGAAAAAAAATCTTACCTTCAATTTCTCAGCCCGGGCTATGATCTCCTGAACTGACATGACAGCCAACGAGACACGACCAGCAAGCTTATTCGGATCAAGATGCTCCCCCGCAGATCTAGCTATGTTCCTCCGAATAGCCTCCTCCAATGTCCATGATGGTGTCTCGAAGCTTTCCCGAGGTTCAAGAACCAGAGTCTCAAGGTTCCGAAATTCCCTGATTATGCAGAAACCAAGTGCCTCAAGTGCCCCACTCCTCTCAAAGTCGTTATCACTTCCGCCAAGCATCAAATGACGCAGATCTCCCAAAAATTTCGAGTGGCGCAAGCTTCCCCGTAATTTTGTGTGGTTTCGAGGATCTTCTTGGGTTCCGACGCACAATGAAAGGAGGTCCCTGGCGTTTTTGGCGAAGATGATGTTGTTGAACTAGCTAGCTTGGCTAGCATCCTTTCCTTCCACTCCAGGTTCAACCACTAATTCAGTTCGTCCGATTATTGGGTATTACTTACGTACGAACACACCAATCGTTTATTAGTATCGCCATTCGATTACGTTCCTTAAACGTGCGTTCAGGAATCAGATTGGTAAATCGTTCCCACCACCAAGTAAGTGCGGGGTAAATCACATGGTGGGGTGGAAATCAGGAATATAGCTAGGGAACCCATTCCCTCTGTTTTTTATGGAATCACTCTCCTGTATCTAGTCAAAACTAGTCATTCTACAGATTGTCAATCTCCAATATATCGATTTTCCACCGATAAATCGATCCCAGTTCAATAGATGTCTTTTGAGAAGTCTAGATACATGGGTTTGACGTTTCGGTGATTTGTGAAAGCGAGTTCGTAGCTTCCCAGTGCTACCTCTCTCGACTCCCGGGAGGTATGCAGCATCGCCGGAATTGCGTAGCTTGCCGCCAGTAATCGGAAGTTCGGTGTCGCATCGTTGTGTTCTTGAATTGTTATGACTCGAGGTCCGGGGATTGCCAATTTCCAGATGGTGAGGCGTATCTCCGGTGCCAGCCTAGGAAACAAGGTGAACTCAGGCTGCTCGACGATCTGAGCAGTCGCGAGATCTCCGATTTCCATCTTGTTGCGATGGCGGGGGAACTGTTTATTGTCAGAGCAGGTCCAAACACCACCTGACCCTCCCCAGAGGGCGAGAAGACAGTTGGGCAAGGGATAATTGGGATACCGTACCACGAAATGTCCCAGAAATTTTCCTTGGTGTTGTCAAATATCGCAAACCCTGTTTGCTTGTTGTTGTCGGGTAGAGAGGATGGCGTGCCGAACACGGCAGATAACCCTAACTTGGGGCAAGGCTACATGATAGCACGAGATTTTTGATTCGGCACGAACACAACAGCGACTTCATGATATAAAGTAGTTTGCTTGCGTTATTAGTCACATGTGGTATTTCTAGCTCACACGTTCAAAGATCGGCACAATGAAGAATAGACTGTAGGGAAAATACAGTTTGTTAAGGCCTGCCTAAATAGAAGGTCAAGTCCTGTCAACCTCTTGGCAATTCTTAACTCCAGCTGTGGCTAAAGGCGAGATCAAGAAACGAAAGGAGATATTCGCCAGTCCAATCTTTCAACTTCGTCGACAGTCAAAATTATAATCTTAGGAGCTCCCACCGGCCGACCCGGCCTCTCTTGTCCATTTCCATCTTCATCCAGTCCTTGGAAAGGGAATTCTGGATCCCAAAAACGGCCAGGGTATCTCAAAGTCGTATCCTTGAGTCCACTCCATCAATCCATATCATTGTCATTACTGATTTCAACCCGAATCACCGTCACGGTCTCCAGGTTGACGAAGTTCAGAAGCCGCTCCTAAATACGGCACCATTTGCCCAACTGATTATCAAGGATGACATGCCCAGCTTGTATTTTACATCCTCGGGATCCTTGAGGCTAGGATCATGCGCAAGGTAGAAATTTCTAGTTGCTTCTTCTTATCTGAAATGGGGTCTGTTTTGGGAGAAGTTAAAGAGGGCTAGGTGGAGTACGCGTTTTCCAAATCCAATCTCGTGGTTCTCGAGTGCTTCAGGGCGAATTTCAGCATTGTCTTGAGTGAGATCGGTACTTGTCGAAGGCTAGTTGTGTGCTTTGTGCCAGTAGCAACCTATGGTCGGACATACACAGCATTTGCCAACCTTGATGATCTGTGGCCGGATGGGAAGTACTTGTTTCCAAACTCTCAGTCGCATCTCTGGTGGAAGTCCTGAGAAGAGGGCGGAGGTGGTGAGCTCAGCCATGGCATGCTGGCTGGCAGCTCCTGGTTGAAAATGCTCTTCTTGACCCATGCCTGAAAGAGGGGGTCTATCCCCGACTCGGGCTACTTTAGTCGGGAGACTTCGTGGGATGATTACAAGCGATTGACCCGTATGTAATTTTGAAGAAGGCGTTAAGCATTTGGCTCCAGGATAATACAGAAATAGTTTTGAAGAAAGTAATTCGAATTCTACGGAAATAGGAGACCACTTTCCCCTCAGAGACACTAGCCTGTTCAGTTTTGCACAAAGACTTTGTCATTAGGAGTTTAATTTGCCATTTTTAATGAATTATGGCTTCTCAGTACTCCATTATTTGCTTTTCGGTCTTTACCAGAGTGTGTGCTGAGGCGTAAAACACTCGATATCAGTCAACGGCATCAGAGTGCTCTGAAGGATTGACTTAATTATCTGAGTTGTCGCCTTAGGAGCAAGCCTTGTCACGACGTAAATTAGCAATTATAAAATATCCTCAGGGAGCTCAAATACCTCAGAATTGGCAGAAACCAGCTGTGGCAACTGAAGTTCTCTGTAGCAGTACCGAAGGCGAGTATTCTTTGGAACTTTCGCTGCCTTCGTCCATCCATATATATCGTTCTCCCATCGCCGACGGAATGCGAACACCAAATCCTTGTCATTGAGTGGACTGGCGAAAGGAATATAGTTGTAAAACTCGATGGTCAGGTGCTGCAAGGCATCGAAGTCTTTTATGCGAGAAAATGGATGACCTCTGATGGTTTCGAATTCAATGCCAACGTGAAGTCTCCTGACGTTCAATTCCGCTCTCTCTTCTTCGAATTCGCCATCGTAGGATTGGGTAAAAGCCCTTAAGGCGTACTCATCAACAAGATGCAGGGTATCAATATCGAAGTCGAAATAAACGGTTCGGAGAAGGCGGTATCTGAAGGCGAGGGAGTAGTGTTTCAGTGCTATCGCGCGAGAGTCGCGGCAGACACGAAGAGTGACAGGGATATCGGATTTGTTTTGCTGTTGTCGATGACGATGTTGGAGCTTGCGGTAGACGGTGACACAATCCCATGACTCGATCGTGATCTTTCGTGGACCTGGATGAAGACAGATTTAGCAATTGCTCCATACAGATTGTTTTGGGAAGATTGGAATAGAAATTGGTTTTGCCCGCGGCGCTGGGGCACATACCAGGTAAGGCAAACTCCCAGATCTTGTTTCTCAACTCTGGTGGAAGTTTGGGAAACAGTGTAAACTTCAAAGGAGGTGGCTCTTCCATGGGCATTGCGGGAGTAGAGATTTGCTGGCCCATTTTTAAGATAAGGTTAGCTTGGTGGATGCGTTGACCTTCGGGATAAACTGAGAAGCTTTCCGCTTGGGGTTGTGCAAGAGGCACAACTTGCCGTGCTGTTGTCTTGACTCGACAAGGAATGAGTCTGTAGAGCTAAGATTTATTGGGAGGATCATGTGAAAGAGCTTGAATTTATAGTCGGATGGCAAAAGACGGAGCAAATGCCAACAGGATTTAACCGAGGGCATGTGGCAATGGGGCATCGGGCTCACTTTCAAAGATTGACTGTCCCTTAAGATCGATACATGGGAAATTATTTAAATGGAACAGGAAAGAACATAAGTTCAATAGGAAACTTAGGAAAAGACTACACCGGCCGGCGAACGCTGCTGGTATTGTTCATTATCTACAGTCATCAATATCAGCCACCATCAAGTCCCTCCTGAAGCTTCTGGCACGTCCCTCCAGTTCAAGGTTTGCAGCTCAGTCAATCAACTTTCATCATTACCTTATCATCACCCCGTTACTTCTCCAGAGCGCAAAAAAGCATTACCACACAAAGGATCAAGCGTCAATATCCTAGTTTGCAGTGACTACTCAATATTGGCCCACGTTCCGTTCCACCAGCGTACCCGTAAAATGCGGCCTGGTTGAGCATGCGAAGGACGTCGAGTTCAGAATCGAAACCGCCGGGGAGAGCATCACCACGGGATGAGATGATGGGAGTACGACGCAGGTTTGCAAAATTGCCGACGGACCTGATTTATCGTCCTTGGTTCGATGCTTGGCTCTTCTGCCCACAGCCCGAATGCTAACTGTTCGTGGACCGGGAAAGCAAATCCCCAGATTCTCAGTCTCAGTTCAGCGGGTAGCTCCGGGAATCCGGCGAAAGTGGTCGCAATAACTTGGGCATCTTGCTGTGGCTCCATCTGCTGAGGTAGCCATACAATGGTCAGATCCATGACGCAGGTCATAGTTCCGTCGATTGGAAATGACTGGAGATGTGGTAACGTCTGGGGTTCTGAAAGAGCAGAGAGGATACAAAAATTGGTTCCTTAAAGGTGATTGTCTTTGAAACGGTCGGGGATCTGAAAAGATGGAGAGATTTGAGGAGGGTTTGATCACAGGTGGTTGTCGAGGAGTTCAAAGGAGGCCGGAGGCTTGGATTAAGTTTGAAGATGTGAATCCTCAGTTGGCTGGACTGAAATTTCCCAATTCACTTTCAGACACTTTCATATTCGCAAATTCGCATAATTCTCATCATTCACTCTTGTATAGGCGTTCAACAGGAACTGCATATCCTGGCTGGATAAATAATCAAGTTGTATTTTTGATTACCATCGACGTACAAAGATCACGGCATAAAGTGACGGGATTACAGGGCATTTGTGCTTTAACAGCACTTCATTGTCTTTTTATTTTTATTTTTATTTTTAGCGCACTCGGTCACTAAATTAACCTATTAATTCTAGGCAATTGCCCTTAAAAACACGCTAGAAGGCGGGAGCAAGGGCACCTTCTCCCCTGTACTTACAAGGGTATCGTCGCTAATGAGGCCTGTAATAGTTGCTCGTTTAACTTCCAAGCGCACAGTTGCTCTTCTAATAGCGATAACCCTGGAAGATCTACTTATCCCTTGCGAATGTCTTGCAGCGCCTCTTTACGTCGATTTAGGGAGCACTGCCTAGAGCTATAGAGACTTATAGCGAGCTATTGCCCTAATTTCGGTACCTGTAGAACACCAAAGGTCAAAATGCCCTGTATTCCCGACCCTTTATGCCGCGATCTCCGTACCTTCAAGAGAAATCACAAAAATCTATTCGACATCTCCGAGCTTGAACTTCCATGTGCTACCCCCTACCCACAGACACCGGGCAACAATTTAACCTCAAATATATGTCTTTTACACTCTTCTGAACACGCCTTCCCATACACTTTCGCTAACACCCCGTCCCAGAACAAGTATTTGGAAAATATAGCAAGCAAAGTGATAGAAACAGCAGGCTTGACAATAACTTCTTGTATGAGCGAAAAGATCGACCTATACCACTGTCTAAGAAGGCTTACTTCTACGTGGTCCGGGAAACCCTGTATTTACTAGCTCACTACAATCAACTTTGACTTCATGAATTTCTTAGAAATTTCCTCAGAAGGGATATAAGGTTCATCTCAGCGTGTGGCGAGGGGATGGGGAATAAATGCAGGGAAGATGGGAGCTTAAATATTTAAGTCTTCTCCTTCCACGATTGGTATCGCTTCGATTTGGCGAGGGAATCACGTCAAAAGATCGCAGCTCCTCCTCAAGTAGGAGTAACAATACTCAACAGCAGTGAGAGAACTTCTTACAATGCTGTAGTATAGGTATACACTGACAAGCAAAGGTGATCAAACTCCATGATCATGTGTGCCAGCTGTTTGTAAGCATAACCACTGACGCTTTTGTTGTAACTTGGAAATCTTGACGATTCTGGGTGCCGACACCCCCAGACCACCAACCATCAGCACCTCTATCCCCAATAGCCAGAAGTATTGAGAGCTTACAAAGATAAAAGAAGACTTTATGAGACCATGACCAAGATTCAGGAAGGAGTCAGGAAGATGGACCGAGGGAGATATTATTGGTGCTGGATATATCACTGCTATTGTATTGATCTGAATAGTTGCATTATTTAATTTGATGTGTCTTCTTTATTGGGAGCTGTGGACTGATGATTGAGAAAATGAAAGTCGGGGGAAGTTGGTAAGCTCTGGAGGTTTATCTGGGTCGAGTTCTGATCGCTCAGACAACACCACAGAGAAATTCAAACCGGATAGTGAAGAACCACAGAATAAAGTTGAGATTTATCTTTGGTTTGAGGTATTGGAAGCTCGAGAGTAGAATTCCTTGGGAGTTTAGAGTTCTGGCATTTCCAGTTGAACTATCTAATAACCAATAAAATTCCATCAACCACACTTGAGTAAACGAAGAGCATCACCTTTTCATGGTGACTGTAAGTCTGCAAGTCCTCGATTTTGCAACTTAGATTTCGTGGTAGGGGGCTTAAATAGCGATTCAGATCGATGTTCACGTGAAAACAACAGCCCCTTTCTTCAGCGAGACAGGCGTTCGCTTAACTAGCTGCTTGAATCCCGCTATCTCCTGCGGTCAAGAGTAGGAGTCACAGATCATTATTCTCGAACCTGTTTTCGGTTTTTATAAAGAAATAAGCTGTATTCCCGCAAAAGAGAAGGAGTATCACTTAAAGAGCCATGCTTATTGTGCGAAGGCTTCCCTATAGGGAGAACAGAAAATTGATTGATAGATGAAATTGTAGGTACACACCTCTAGTGTGGGAAGACGCGGACTGTTTGTACACCACGCTGGGCCGAGCCTACATTGACCAGGATTTCAGGAGTTCTAGTACTGAGCGCCCACAGCTAGCTAGGTCGGGACAACAGAGAAAGCGAGATTTGATTTTTCTGATTTTCGATTTTCTGATTTTCTGATTTCTAGACAACCGTACGTAACTGCCCTCTATTTTTAGGTAATAGCCGGTGCCCCTCCCACGGCGCTTCGCTTGTGGTCCGGGATAAGCAAGTGTCTCGTTTAACCAAGCTGTCCCATCGTAGATTTTAGCCGATTCTTGATTTTTGGTACGCATCGCATACAAAATCAAGCTATATTTTTGCAATGGAATTTAAGGATACTAGTTATAAAAAATACAAAGCTACCTAGAACTATACAAAATCGGCATTCGCTTATATACTATTAATTGAGCCCGCATTACTCTCTATATCTGAAGAGTCTGGAATAATAAGGGGGGGTGGACTTGAGTCTATATACTCTCCCACCCTCTCCTTTTAATGCTTCCGTTCAGTAGTATTAATTACTATATCCTTATCCCCGTTAATATTAATAAAGGTATTTGGTGCCTCTAGCCAATCGGGGGCTAGATTACTAAGGGATGCCGTAAGCTGGCGAACCACGAGCTATAAATCAGGGTAAAAGTCCTCCTTATAGCAAGCTCGTTCAATAATTATAGGGTATTTATCAGGTTTGCGAATTGGTACCATATCCTCTACTGGAATTAGCTTATCCTTTAGTTAATACTCTACGATTCTAGCTAGTCTAGCTTTCTTATCCTTGCGAGCTTGAATCCCGGCGTCCTTGAGCTAATTTTTAGCTTGATTTATGGCAGTGGCGAGCTTTTTTTTAGCCTTGCAAAGAGCTTCTCCATTATCTTTCTCCTTCTTCTCTTTAATCTCTATATAAAGCTCTACTATACTAGCAGATGGCCCTTCCTTATATAAGCTTTTACGGGACTTCGCCTTGCGATTATACTCCTTACGAAGCTTTGTTTAGAGAGCCTGGTACTCTATTATCTGGAGATAACTTTTTTGCAGTTGGATATTAACCTTTTTGATTATAGCTATCCAAGTTTCCTTTGAATTTTCTGAAAAAGTAGTAGGATTACAATCTGCAAGTGCCCTAAGGGTTACGGCTATATTCCATACTTTATCGGGGCGAGTAAGTAATAAAGGGGGAAGATCTAAGCTCTCCTCTTCCTTAATCTCCTTAATTAATCTCTTCTTCTTTCTATATAATTACATCTTTTTAATTCCAGCTTTATAACTAACGGGCCATATACCAGAGCTCTTAAAGGCATTCTTGATTATATACTTTTGTATTATTTATATACGAATTAGGGTAAGATTATAGAAAAAGGAAGTAATTATATATTCAAAATCGAGGGAACGGAGGGCCATATGAATTGCCATTTTATAATAGTGCTTCCAGGGGCGGAATATACTAATATCAAGTAATTAAAGGATATATATTAAGTGAGAGGGAAACCAGAATAGCTTAATATTATATTTCCCGGCCTTTAATTAAAATGGTTTATAGATATGCGATTTGTAACTGTCTAGAAGAAGGATTTTCCAAGGTTTGTCTAGCCCAGCTCTTGAATACTTGATTAAATAATCGAGGTATTTTATAGCTATATTATTATTTATATATCCGGTAGGTATATACTTAATAT